ATAGGACAAGGGCCCCCCTCGGGATTGACAAACCCCCGACAAACTCAGAGTGGCAAACTGGGGCGAACTGGCACGCCTCTGGGCCCCAGGAGCCCTAGGGATTGTCGACGCTCTGACGACCTCGGGTTCTGTTGAGAGATTCCTTGGAAGGATATCTCAGCGGACAAAACCACAGCTCGCCACGTCGACGTCTAGATCTCTGCCACGCGGCCCTATAGGGACGACCGAGATCGTCCCCAACATCGCGGGAAGATATTGGGCTGCCACGACGCCCACGTCGGGGCCATGCGTCACTCCCCTGGTCAACCTCCTTTGCGCGGGAACTCGATGACGCGCCCAATTTTGTCGGTGCGCGATCCACGCGGTGAAAATCGGTCCATCAAAAAGTGTTACAGTTGTCCGGCATCGCTAGCCGATCGCCATGTCGGTGTCGACCACGGATCCAACGGCCTATACCCGAGCCACGCGGCACAATCCGTTTGTGCCTCAACACTGTCCCGGTTAAATGAATCTAAACACACACCCAAGCGCGCCGCAGGATAGTCGGCGCCGATCACGAGGGGCTCACGGTGGGCTTGCCACGCGGCTCTTCAGTGATCCCGGGCCCTTGGGCGATGGAAGTCGGCATGCCGGCATTTCTGCAGAGAGGCACCAATGCTGGGCCCACACCTCACGCACGCCCATTCCACCGTGGACTGGCCCAGGCTTACGCCCCTTGAGTGCAGCGCGGCGTCCCATTTGCCATGCACAACATGTGGCACGTCGGACGTTGCGCCGCCGCACGAGAACACATGCATAGTGGCACAAGCATAGGGGGTTACTTGGAGCGCGACAAAATCGGGGTCGCTCACGACCATACCCCCGCTGTGACCTTGCGCAGGTGCTCATTCGCTTGTCCGTTCCTGCGTTCCTTCCTGCTATCTCTTGCACTTAGAATTTTCCTCTCCCTAGCTATCGTCACGAGTGTTGGTCACCGAGCGCCGACCAATCGATCACGTCGGCACAGGTTGCGTCTCCCTGGCATACATTAGCCAGGTCGGTGTTTAGGTAATAGAAGGGGCGGAACGCGTCGACGTCGCCGTAGGATGTTCTAGAGCAGCATCTCGGCATAGAATCAACAGCTCTACCGACCAAGCAAGACGGGACGACAGAACCTTACTAAGTTGGTGACGCATGGCCAGAGGACGGCCTAGAGCCCAACAGCCGCAACCCATCCCCCCCTATGCTGAATTTGTAGACGCCGACATCAAAGCGCAGCTGGAACGCCTCGAGCTCGTCGATGAGTTAGAAGCACTTGAGAGAGAATTCGAAGAAGACACCCGCGCAACGCGTCGGGCGTACACCGCACCCGTGACTCAGTACCGTCTCTGGTGGTCCAACCTTTTCCTCGCACACGGACGACGGTAGAGCAACATACGAGAGGCCACATGGCCGACGTCGACATGTCAGACGTTGGTCCCCCAACCGACCACAATCCGACCTCTACCCCCCAAGAGACGCTCAAATTACTCTATGATCTTGACGCACTGACACAGATTCCAGAAGGGGAGTTCACCAAGGCCATTCCCCCACTGCCGGTAGGGGAGTTTACGAAGCCAGCTAGTACGTCGACTCCGACGCAAGATGGACAGTCAGGAACTTCGTCGGTACTGGCCGGCGCTGTAAACCAGGCTGACGACGACAACGTCGAGGAGGAGGAGAGCGACGACGAATACGACGAGCGTTCTCCGCGTAGCACGAATCCGCGCACCTTAGAAGAACGCCTCAGGCGGGAGCTTGAATACATAGATGAGGTGCTCGAAGAGGACGAGAAGGACCAGGAGAACATCGCGGTGCCACGCAAACAATAGAGGGCGGCGGACTTCGTCGAGGACGACATGGTTCACGCGTGCATCGACGTCCTCGTCATGGTCGCATTTCGTCACCTACAGACCTTGGAGAAAAAAAGCACTCTACGGCTGTACACCTCGTGGATCTACCACTACAAAAGGTTGGCGGCGAAGATGCTGAAGCAACAACGGGACAAGCTGCCGCAGGGGCACCGACTTAGACATGTCGACGATATAGGCCACTACATCCGCGACAACAAGAAGAAGGATTGGGACGACGAGGTCGAGGTCCCCCGGGAGTACATCTGGCTGCACGGCCCTCGGGTCACTGAATCCAGGCTGCGAGCCTACGTGAAGTACATGAGCCGTGAATGTAAGCTCGATGCCGAGTCGCTCGAGGAGGGGAACAAGGCCACGCACACTCAACCAGTGCAATCCACGACAGTGCACAAGCGCTTCGGACGCATAAAGGCATGCCAGATGGCGGCGAGAGTGGAGGCGACGCTCTACCGGGAGAAGGAGCTGGGCATCATGCGGGAGATCTCGGTGGTCAGATCGGAGGTGCGGTTCATGGTCCGCACCAAGAACGAGAGGGACATCAAGTAAGTTGGTCGATGCCGCTAACGGAGGTCTTCACCACTTTGATTTCAACGACGACATAATAACATCCCACGGTGTCTTTGCGTGCAGGATCTGCGCCGACCGGCGCCGCGGCACCATCGGCAATACCTACACCGCTGAGCAGTTCTGCCAGATCATGATGAGGGTGCTGCCGACATGGGCGGCGTCGGCGTGGAACCCGCGCGGAACCGGTCCGTCGTAGATGCTTTGGAGGTTTCTGCTCGTCAAGGTGCTCATGCTACTCTCCCACTACAGTCTCCTGCGGGGTGCCAGCATCCGCGAGATCACGCTCCCCGACATCTTCTTGTACCGACTGGCGAGCACCTCGTCGGTGAACCCGGAGAACCAGCCGGTCGTCATGGTGGTCGCCGCGCGGAACTCGAAGACGTCGAAGGATGCGCGTCTTCAGCAGAGCTACGCGGCGCGACACCTCGAAGCGGAGTTGTACGCGGTCGGCGAGACCTGCCTGTGGTTGCACTTCATCCTCGACCAGATTGGTCAGTTCCACGGCGTCGACTTCCTCCCACACCTGGACACCTCCGAACGCAAGCGCTGGTACAAGAAGCACTTGTTCTTCACCCGCAACGACAAGGAGCAACAAGAGCTCCCTGCATCCAGCCACCAACGTTGGACGCGGCAGATGTGGAAGACGAACAAGGTGTTTTGCAAGCGGAACGTGCACTTCGCTCGCGCAGGGGGGGCGAAGGAGCTTGCCATTGACGGCACGCCGTGCGCCGAGATAGCCGAGCTCGGTCATTGGGCCCTCGACAAGATGACTCGAGCTTACATCACAGCCATTCCTGTCGGCGTGGTGATGAAAAAGGCCGGCTATTTGGGTGCCAATCAAGACTACTTCTAGGGTCGCAGTAGGGTGGAAGCCTCCGATGAACTCAAGGACATCATCGCCGAGCACATCTTCGTCGGCATTGATGACCTGCTGCGCAAGGTTTGTTAATCAGTGTTTACATAGTTTCGTCATAGTATCGTCCTACCGCCCGTCCCTAATCGCCTAATACACTTGTCGAATTGCAAGCGGAAGAACTTGCTGCCAAGGGGTCCGACGCCGACATTGCCGCCGTGCACTTCTGGCGCCCCCTCTAGATGATGCGCCGCATCGTCGCCCAGGACCTCGCGGTGAAGCTCGCCCGCACACCATGGCACCCGTACGTCCAAGGTTCCAAGCTCTGCCGGATCGCCCTCTTCCAGCACTGGGCGAAAAGGGTCGAGAAGGTCGACACCGAGACGATCAAAAGCGCCGGGACTTGACCCTCATCCAGCCTAAGGTAAACCGATAATAATGTCGGCGTCGAGTAGTTAGGAATGTATTCAAAACCCCTAGCAGCTAACGTCCTTCCTCTACCGTTGCAGGAAATCTCGGTCCGCTTGGACACCGAGTACCATAACATGTTTCTCACGCAGGCGCTGAAGTACGAGAGGGAGCGCTCCGCGGTTGAGAAGATTGACCTTGAGGAGGAGATTGAGAAGCGCGACGCTACCATTGCGACGCTGACCGCCGAGATAACCCGTCTCACCGAGGCACAGCGTGTGTCTGAAGCACGGAGGATGCCGGCGGCGCCGCCGTCGACCAACGAGCAAGCGCCGAGCGAGTGCGGCTCCGCGGACTCGGCTAATGCTGGGGCCGGAGCTAAGAAACGGGATGAGAAACCCTCGAAACCCCCACAGACGGTCGAAGAGTCTAGTTACGAGCTCAACGTGGTGCTACCTTGGCGTGAGGCAAAGACCGTGAGGGACGCTTGGCGCCTCTGGAACTCCGCCACCGTCGATGACACCCGTCGTCTTTGCGACAGGGTCGCCGAGCTGGGGTTTGTCGACAGCCACACCCTCCTCAAAGGCGCGACGCACGGTGCACACGACATGAATGTGCGCCGCATGCTCAAGGCCATGGATGCAGCGCGCCTTCTTCGCCATAGCGACGGCGAGGCCGACACCGAAGCCGTCGTCGCTGCATTGAACAAGATCGCGGCGCCGGGCATTGGGACGTTCTGCAATGCCCTCACGGTGCTCAAGCCGGGAACAGCACCGACGTACTTCAAGGAGCCGGGCATGGGAGTCAAGGGGCTGGGCCCCAAGGTGGTCCCGAAGCTACGTCTCGCCTATGCGCTGGTGGCGCGCGGCTTGAAGACGGGAAAGTGGGTCGCCGACCTGTTTCCAGACACCTGGGAGGAGCAGATGGCGAAGACGGTGGCCGACATGGCAAAGGAGGGCGCCGCTGAGCAGCGGTCTTCGACAAAGCGCTAGAAGACGGCGTGAAAATAGGTGGTGCATGTGCGTGTGCGCTGTTGGATGCTGTAATTGTGAAAAAACTTGAACAAACTCTACTTCTCCTATCGTTTAGTGCTTCTAGCTTGTTGGGTGTCATCAAACCATGGTAACTGCATTCATTCGCCGACCATCATACTTCCCGAACATACTTGCAAACACCCAGGGGAAAACAAAAGCGACGCAGACAAGGTACATCGCCGTGCGGTACAACGTTTGGTAGTGATCTGGTCGACGTCGCCGAAGAGGTTTCAACGTTTGGTACCCATCTATCTAGACCATTTATGCTAACACAACAAAAAGTTACATGCGAGACCAAACACAGATCCATAAATGATACTACGCAATCGGCGCCGCCCAGACCAACATGTTATACACCTTAGCAAGCAGACCACCTAGCGCTCCCTCCGCCCGCCGACTACGTCGCCGTGCTGTCCTTCTGCCTCTTCCTCCTCTTGCTGTCCTTGCCCTGCTAAACCTTCTCGCCCTTCCTCCCCCTGTGCTCCAAATCGTACTCCATCTGCGCGTCACACGACATATTGATGCCGAGCTTTTTGAGGTTGGGCGCGGCCACGGGGCACATTCCCCACAATGCCAAGGTCTCGACCGTCGCTCTAGCGATGTCGTCGGCCTCGACTCCCACCACTCCCTCCTTAAATGCCCTGTCCAGTGCCTAACCCTGCAGCGCCGGTGCGACGTTGTGGGCAACCTCCCCTGCGGGTGCCAGCCTCTTGGTCTCTATGTCGAACGCCGCGTGCATGACCTTCTTGAAGACCTCGGCCGTCTTCTCACCCGCACCTGCCACCATCGCCGCCGCCTTCCCTTCGCGCACAGCACCGAGCACAGACGCCCAGGTCTCGACGAAGGACCAGACGGCGCAAACGGAGGCCGCTAACGCCTGGGCCGCCATCTCCGTCTTCTCATCCGTTTCTCCCGCCTTTCTCGCCGCGCTCGCTACAACCTTCCCAAACGCCGCGCACATGGACACGCGGTTTATCATGGCCGACATCAGAGCGTCCGTCTCCGCCTTGCCGTCCTCTGCGTCTTCAACGATCGGGAACCAGATCGTCGGCAAGAGCGCGCCGTGAAGCGCATCACCTGAAGTCGAATACCCACAGTACCGTCCAAGTATATCATCGAACCTGACACAGAAACACATCCGAACGGGCAAGCGTTATGACACCGACTTCGTCAACAGCACTTGGCAGATGTGTACACGTCTTACCTTGTCCTCGGAAAGCACACGCCTCTGGCCCACATCACCGTCCACATCCCAGTCGGCAAGAACTTGACCTCCTCCCACACCTTCCTCCAGTTCTCCAACTCTGTTTTTTCCAAGACGGTGACCTCGTCCATGAGGACATTGCTCACGTAACCGTCGTAGATGATGTACGCAATCGCGTGCATGTACGCCAGCTCCATCTTGCCGCGCGACTTCCCGATGTATCGATTCCCGCCGACCACCTTAATCTCGCCCACCCACCCTATCCCGTCGCCCGTCGTGTCGCGGCGGATGCCATGACCCTTCCGTCCTTTCTCTTTCTCCTTCTTCGCCGACTTACCCTCGCCGACCGACTCCTCCTCCCCCGACTTCTCCTTCCTTTTCTGCACCGACTTACCCTTGTCGACCGCCTTCTCCTGATTCTCCTCCGCCTTCTCCTTCCCCTTCTCCGACATCTCCTTCGTCGCCGACATCGCCCGCGTTTTTCGCTGAGAGCCCGCCTTCCCTTTCCTTGTGTCGGCCTTCCCCTTCCTTTCCGACTTTCTCTCGCCGACAGCATCCGTAACAGTCGTTGGCTCCGCCGAACCAACGGCGTGACTCGCCGATGGCTCCACATGCGCCGTGTCCAATATGGCCAGAGCAGGGGGGTGCCCGGTGCGTATCGCCGCATCAAAATGGGCCTGGATGGCAGCGATGTCGGCGTCGTTGTCGGCGCTGCCGCCGGTGGCTAGCGCTGCTCTCACACCCTTTTTCGCTGCCGCACCGAGAATAGCTGCACCAGGTGTGGGTGCTGCCACGTTTACCGACGTCGGTGTTGCGCGTGTGCCGGCTTCCGGCTGAGTCAGTGTTGGCGCTGCCGCTCTACGTGCGCCTAGTTGGGCACGAAGCAATGCAGACTTTGGGTCCGTAGGAGGACGGGCGACGACCTGAGGCGCGGTAGGTGGGGCACTGGACGTTGTGGCGGCGACCTGCGGAGTGTCCGAGCGACGTGCAGCTTCGGCGGGGGCGGCCTCGACCAAGGGAGGCTGCTGCACGTCCTTGCGATGGGCCTCCGTGCGATGGAGCGATTCCCTGAGTGGCTCGCGAGAAATGATATTGCTCGTTACTCGCTTACTCGCGAGTACTCGTTTACTCGCGAATACTCGTTTACTCGCGAGTACTCGTTTTTACTCCCGAGTAATGATATTACTCGTTACTCGCTTTCGAAAACGAGTAAACTGCGAGTACTCGTTTTAAAACGAGTAATACTCGACTCGTCAAAACCGAGTAATTTCTGGAAACCAGCCGACTCGTTACTCGCCCAAAACGAGTAATGAAAACGAGTTGAGTAAAATACTCGACTCGTTGCTCATGTCTAGGGCGCATGCATGTGAGTGGGGCGCATGCATGTGAGTGGGGAGCATGCATGTGAGTGGGGTGCATGCATGTGAGTGGGGCGCATGCATGTGAGTGGGTGCATGCATGTGAGTGGGGCGCATCCATGTGAGTGGGTGCATGGTTGTCCACGTTTTGCCCCTCATTTGGTGGGCATGACATCCACCGAATATGAGTTGCATCCAATTAAATGCTACTCCTTTCATCCTTATAGTAGAGTTTTTTCTCTTATTGCCACCACTTTGCATTATTCATGCTCTGGGTGTCCCTCCGCACAAGATGAGCTTTGTCGTTTCTGTTCGTCCAAAAATTTTTCAGTCCATTGCACTATTCAATGCAGTGAATGAACTAGGCACACCTAGGACGAGCAAAAACAGCAGAGCTCATCTTGTGCAAAAGGACAAGCAGAACATGAATAGTGCAGATTAATGACTTTAAGAAGGAAGACTTTTCTGATGCCATTGCTGCCAGTCATGCCAAACAAAGCCACACTTTTCGTCGCTGCAATGCAAGTCCCTCTTTGAAAATGAATGCCACAGCCCCTCCATTCCCAGTCATGCATGTGCTCTCCCACCCCTCCTGACTCTCTCTTTTCCTCATTTGCCCTGTTCCCACCCTGCGCCCGCCAGTCATGCCAGCCAAGGCCACACTCTTCGATAATCGCTGCAAGCCCCTCTTTGATTTTGGCTCCGGCCCGCGCAACTTGGTTCGCTGGAGTCCCCACGGCCGATGTGAGTGGGTAGTGGGTGTGTGATTAAGTAAAGAAAGTGTGCGTGCAACAACAGGCACTGCAAGCCCCTCTTTGACTTTGGCTCTGGCCCTCGCAACCTCGTCCGCTGGAGCCCGCATGGCCGATGTGAGTGGGTAGTTGGACTCGGGTGTGTTAATGAACAGGGCACGGGGGGTGTGCAATGGGAGGGCATGTGTGCAACGGCAGTCGCTACAAGCTTCTTATGACTTTGGCTCCGGCCCTCGCAACCTGGTTCGCTGGAGCCCCCATGGCCGATGTGGTTAGTCAGGGAGGGGTTGGGAAGAATGGGAGTGTGTGCGCAAGTGGGCGTGCTATGGGAGGCGGATAGTGGGAGAGGGGGTGTGGGGAAAGTTAAAGCTGCGTGCAGCTTCAGGCACTGCAAACCCTTCTTTGACTTTGGCTCTTGCCCGCACGGCCGATGTGAGCAGTTAGGGATTGGGGGGGGGGGGGGGGGGGGGGGGGGGGGGGGAAGTGTCTTCATAGCGGGCGTGCAATGGCAGGCACATGGGGGTTTGGGCAGAGTTGGAGCATACGTGCAGTGCAAGCAACCACAGGCTCTGCAAGCCCCTCTTTGACTTCAGCTTCGGCCTGCGCAACCTGGTTCGCTGGAGCCCTGGTGCGAGTGGGTATTAAGGTGTGTGATTGAGCAGGGGGGATGTGCGATGGCAGGTGGATGTGAAGAGTATGTGTGGGAAGGGGGCGTGCGTGCAACGGCAGCCGCTGCAAGCGTCTTTCAGGCTTCGGCTCTGGCCCTCGCAACCTGGTTTGGTTCGCTGGAGTCCGCACAATCGATGTGAGCAGTCAAGATGTGCACGGATTGCTCTTTCCTGCCAGCGCGCTGTGCTGTGATTGTACCTAACAATTTGCAGCAGCCTTGAAGACTCTGGTGCTGACGATGGCTCTGGCCGAAATGCGTACGCCTACAGTGTTACCTGTCACTCATAGTAGTCCTGATTTCTTACCACTCTCTTTACACAAGCACCTCACCCACCCCGTTACACATACGATTTATTTAAACCTTCATGCGAATTCAAGCTTGCTGCTGCTCGAACCCTTTCAACTCTTTGATAGAACGGAGGATATTCGCAGCAGCCGTGCACAAAGTATGCGCAGGCACGCACCTTACAGAAAGCATCTGCCTGGTGAACCCTCTTTTTTTTATTATTATTCTTGCTGTCTCGTTTCCGCCGCTGTTGGATCCTCAGAATTTCCCTGACCTCCTAGACCAAAGTTATGCTTTCGTTCATCTTACTATCTTACGTACAACACCAGGCCATCTTTCCTGATCGCCAATGTTCTCCCCCGTTCCCCATCCACTCTCCATGATCTCTGCCTTCTTCTCATCCTTTATCGCCAGTTATTTGTCTTGCTGGCTTCGGCAATCTTCCTGGTGACGTTGTGAGTGGGTCGTGCTTCAATTTTGGGTGTGTTGATGAATGGAATTCTTCTTGCTTGTGTGTTCTCATGACAGTGGGAGGGAGACTGGGCGTTGGTGAGAGTGCGAAATAGACTCTGCATTAGCTGTTTATAAACGTTATGTGTTTCATCTCAAGGCTATTCGTTCCCTTGTATCAGCACCAGTAGACAATGTGCATACAAGCACCACTACATCACGTGCCCATCCTTTCATGCTGGGTTACGTTACGTCTCTCTGCTTGGAGCGGAGTCACCGAGTCTGCTTGGAGACCGAGGCATGCAGTGCTGTGATCACTCCTCTCTTGAGTTGATTTTTGAGCAAGGTTCAAAATTACGACCGAACTATTGAAATTCTACCGTATAATACGGAATCGTAAAAAACGACAGTAAAATACGGTTTATAACATTTCAGTGATTGCTAGGAGAAACAATGCGTTTTTTTTAAGTCTATCAAAAATACGGCGTATTTTTGGATATTTGGCCGTAAAAAACGACCGTATTATACGGACCGTATAATACGATAACCGTAATTTTGATCCTTGTTTTTGAGGCATGCAGTGCTGTGATCACTCCTCTCTTGAGCTGATTTTTGAGGCATGCAGTGCTGTGATCACTCCTCTCTTGAGTTGATTTTTGAGGCATGCAGTGCTGTGATCACTCCTCTCTTGAGTTGATTTTTGAGGCATGCAGTGCTGTGATCACTCCTCTCTTGAGTTGATTTTTGAGGCGCCTAAAAAATCAACTCAACGCATAGAGTGCTCTGTATGAAGTGAATTTTGGAGACGTCTCAAAAATATAGTGCTGTGTATCACTCCTCTCTTTCTTGGTTCCTGCCTATTCCTCCTGCCCAAGCCTACCCACCTATCCTTTATCCTGTGCAGCGTGCCCCCCTTCTAGCCTATCCCGCTCTCCTTCACACTGTCTCCCTGCCCGGCCCTGTCCCCCTATCCCCGCCTGTCCCCCTGCCTTTCCTGTTCCTCTGTCCCCCTTGGCAGGAGGTGTGGGAGCGCACACGACTGAAGCAGCAGGGGAAGGCCAAGGCGCCGTGCGGCGTGTCAGCTGAGTGGAGCCCCGACGGCCGGCACATCCTTGTCGCCACCACTGCACCCCGTCTGCAGGTTGACAACGGGTAAGCTGGTAGATGCCTTGGATAATTCTTAGAAGCAGCAGGGGAAGGCCAAGGCGCCGTGCGGCGTGTCAGCCGAGTGGAGCTTTTGAGGCGCCTCAAAGGACGGCCGGCACATTCTCGTCGCCGCCACTGCCCCCCGCTTGCACTTGGACGACGGGTGAGCTGGTAGACACTCGAGAGCAATCGGTAGCTAGTGAAGTGCTGTCACCCAAGCTGCATGGAGCCTCGACGGCCGGCACATTCTCGTCGTGGACAACGGGTGAGCAGACACGTGCGCACATGACCATTGCCCATGGTTGAACAGTTCTTTGAGCGCTTCCAGACATATCAAGGCCAAGTCAAGTGCAGCCAGACAGTCGCCACATCCTCGTGCTCTTCGTGACGACTGTCGGGGATATGACGGCTATCGGGGATCTCCTTGACTTCGGGGACAATTCGTCTCATCAAACAGCTCATCTCATCCAGCGAACCATCTCCCCTCGTTTCACAACGAGCCACATTGAATGCCCTCCACGAGCCACATTGAATGCCCTCCACGAGCCACATTGAATGCCCTCCACGAGCCACATTGAATGCCCTCCACGAGCCACATTGAATGTGCACTCCAGCTGTACTTTACATGCCTGCGTGCGTTTTCTCGTTCACTCCCCTCTGCCTCTCACCTGCTCCTCTCCCCTCGAATGCTGCTTCTTACCCCCTGCACCTCTCAGCTTCAAGGTGTTCAAGTATGACGGATCTCTGCTGCTGCACCGACCGTACGGCCTGCTCTACCAGGTAGGTACCACTCGCCATCATCCTGCCACCTCTACCCTGATACAAATCCACCAGCTGCGCGGTGCCCTGCTGACTTTTGAGTCAACTCAAAAGTCAACTCTGCTGCTGCACTGACCGTACGGCCCTCTCTACCAGATGCCACTCGCCACTGTCCTGCCACCTCTTCCCTGTGCTGCCACGTGTGCCCTGCGCTGCTAGATGCATGTGCTGTGTTCTTCTCCCCTCATCTCTCTCTCTCTCGCTCAGCTCTTCAGAGCTCCAAAGGGCACGTATGCTGGCCGGGCCGCTTCCCCTCGTCAGCCCTTCACGCCAAGATGAAGTGTCTTCCTCCAGCCTGATTTCTTCTTCCTCTCCCCCTTCAACCCTTTCTCTCACCCCAGGCGGAGTGGGCGCCAGCACCAGAGGGCGTGTATGCTGACCGCCCTCCCTCGCCTCGCTCTGCCAAGAGAGACCAAGGTGTGCCTTGCCTGCCTTGCCTGCCTTGCCTGCCTTGCCTGCCTGCTGCCTTGCCTGCCTTGCCTGCCTGCTGCCTTGCCTGCCTTGCCTGCCTGCTGCCTTGCCTGCCTTGCCTGCCTGCTGCCTTGCCTGCCTTGCACGGTCCCCCTTTCCCACCCACAGCGTGTGTCCTTCCATTCCATGCACTTTGTGCTTGAGACCAGTGTAGTGTGCTGATCGGTCTTCTGACATATTCTCAGCGAGCTGCAAACTTAGTCAGTCCTAAAGCAGAAATGAGCCGTGTTTTGAGTCGACTCAAAACTCGGTCTTTGTCCTTCCATTCCATGCGGTTTGTGCTTGAAAGCAGTGTAGTGTGCTGCATCATCGATGCCTGTTCTTGTCTCTATCAACCATTATTATCCTTCTTCCTCCCCCCTCCTCCTCCATGCCTTTCCCCACTGCCTGCTTGCTTTGTCCTCTCCTTCTCCTTCCTCTTTTCTGCCTCCTTTGTCACTTCTCCATCCCCTCACACCACATGCCCTTCCCCGCTGCCTGTTTTGTTTCCTCGCCTTCTCCTTCCTTGCTTCTACCTCCCCATCACTTTTGAGTCGACTTAAAAGTCAACCCATCACTTTTGAGAATTCTCAAAAGTGATTTCAATATCACCAGGTGCAGCAGTGCTGCCCCACCAGCACCCACCAAACCAGCGCCCTACATTTGATTTGAGGCACCTCAAAATTCCTCCACTTTTCTTCCCGCTGCCGCTCATATCAGGCTCTCCAGCAGCAAGTCAGTCAGTGCCCTACCGTCTGGCCAATGCTGCCCTCATGGCTTCAACCTTCCCCTCTTCCTGCTTTGTTGCCTCTGCTTCTCCTCTCCTTCTCTTCACCCCATCAGCCTCACCAGGCGTAGTGCAGCCACCAGCCAGCAAGCCAGCACCCTACCGCCCACCCAACGCTGCCCTCATGACCTCCACCTTCAGAGCACAGGTCAGCTGCCACGTGGCATTCGCTGCTGGTCGCCACCTGGCAGTGGTGGCTCGTTGTCAGTGTCCTACTGGCAGGTTGTTCACAATCCAGCATTTTCAATCATTCGTAAAAGTAATTCTAATATATTTCATGGGTAGTGTTCCTCAAGTCCAGCATTTTCTGTGTCTCATTTATGCTGTTTCCCTCTCCTTCACTGTCACATCCCTTGTTGTCACCTCCGTCATTGTCACACGGCAGATGTCAGGCGAGGATGACAAGCCGCACAAGATCGGCGCTCCAAAGAAGTACATCCCCCCTGGGTGAGTCACTTTTCTCTTGATTGAATCAACAAGCGCTTTAGTAAGGCTGTAGCAGGGTTGTAGCGTTCGGACGTTCTCCCTGGACACACCCGCGAAAAGCAGTTTTGCCTGCAAGGTAGGATTCATCTGCAAGGATTCACCAAGTGGGTCTGTGAAATTCACTGATGTGCCACACTGGCAACAATGGCGGTGTTCGCCAGCACATCAGAAAAACAAAACGCCACGGAATGGCCGTGGAATCCCGAACCAGAGGAGGAACCATCCGAATTCGTGTGGTGGATATGGCGAAATTGGGAAATTTCGCGCCAGAATTGGGGGGGGTGGCAACGGGATCAGGAACCACCCTCCCCACCTTCCAATTCCCTTTCACGTTTTTCCGCATAGGAGATCGTCTCCTGACCAGAGCCCCAAAATTTTGAGTTGATACAAATGACTCTATTCTTCATTTTTTAGTCGACTCAAACAAGTTCAAATTTTGAGTCAATTCAAACGACTTCAAGTCTTGAGTGAACTCAAACGCCTTCAAATACTGTCCACCCAAACGAGTTCAAGAGTGTCAAGAAGAAAGCCAAGTTCTGTGCCTCAATATCATATCACCCTTCTTCGATTTCGTGCTGTGCTCAAAGAATCACCCCTCGCTGTGCCGCATGTCGCATAGTGTGACAGGGCGGAAGCAGCAGAGCCATCCAAGAGTGCGAAGAAAAACGCCAAGAAGCGGGAGGGAGAATTGCTGTGCCTAGAATCTCTCTTGTATCTGTGCTGCGTGCTGTGCATGTGTGCAGGGCGTAGGCAGCAGAGCCATCCAAGAGTGCCAAGGAGTGGGAGATTTGTCTGAGGCGCCTGAAAAGCACCCCTCTCTGTTCTGCTTGCTGCATGTTGTGTTCTATTCACTGTGTGCAGGGCGGAGTCAGCAGAACCATCCAAGAGTGCCAAGAAGAACGCCAAGAAGCGTGAGGCTGCTAAGGCCAAGAAGGAGGCTGCTTCACCTGATCAGGTTCGCTCTCAGGTGGTCCCTCAGGTGAATCTAACAGAGCGTTTCTCAGCATAAGTACTTCAATCTACTGCATGAACTCACACCCTAAGTGTACGTCACACACACTGTGCACCTTACCTCACACGTTTGTGTGCCCTCCACTCCACTTTATTCTAAACTCGGTGGGTTGCAGGCTAGTCAAGGCAAACAGGCGAACCAGCAGGCAGCCAGTGTTGCAGGGCTCAGCATTGATGACCATCCCAAGGCACAGCAGGAGCAGCAACCAGCACCACAGCCACAAGGTAATGATGCCTCTTCTCTTCTTGCACAATCATTTGACGAGTCAGGGCAAGCAGGCAAGTGAGAGCAAGCAGGCAAGTGAGAGCAAGCAGGCAAGTGAGAGCAAGCAGGCAAGTGAGAGCAAGCAGGCAAGTGAGAGCAAGCAGGCAAGTGAGAGCAAGCAGGCAAGTGAGAGCAAGCAGGCAAGTGAGAGCAAGCAGGCAAGTGAGAGCAAGCAGGCAAGTGAGAGCAAGCAGGCAAGTGAGAGCAAGCAGGCAAGTGAGAGCAAGCAGGCAAGTGAGAGCAAGCAGGCAAGTGAGAGCAAGCAGGCAAGTGAGAGCAAGCAGGCAAGTGAGAGCAAGCAGGCAAGTGAGAGCAAGCAGGCAAGTGAGAGCAAGCAGGCAAGTGAGAGCAAGCAGGCAAGTGAGAGCAAGCAGGCAAGTGAGAGCAAGCAGGCAAGTGAGAGCAAGCAGGCAAGTGAGAGCAAGCAGGCAAGTGAGAGCAAGCAGGCAAGTGAGAGCAAGCAGGCAAGTGAGAGCAAGCAGGCAAGTGAGAGCAAGCAGGCAAGTGAGAGCAAGCAGGCAAGTGAGAGCAAGCAGGCAAGTGAGAGCAAGCGGGCAGCCAGTGTGGGAGCCCTGAGCATTGGTGACCGGCCCAAGGAACAGCAGGAGCAGCAGCCGGCACCACAACCGCAAGGTAATAAGCCTTTCTGGCCAGACACTTCATTACTCCACCAGAAACCATCTCCCTGGCGCGTGTTGTACACACCAGCCAGCACCGACTAGACTAGCCCATTCTCTCCGCTGCTGCCCTCTTCCATCCACCCTTGCAGGACAAGGCACCGACGAGGCAGCAGAGAAGGCAAAGAGGGTGCGCAACCTTGGCAAGCAGCTGCGGCGAATCGAGGGGGCAGCAGGGGGCAGCACTGGCTAGCTCATTCCCTCTTCTTTTCCTCTCTTACACCCTTGCAGGACAAGGCACCGACGAGGCAGCAGAGAAAGCAAAGAGAGTGCGCAACCTGGGGAAGCGGCTGCGGCAGATTGAGGAGCTCAAGGCGCGAGTGGCAGCAGCAGGGGGCAGCACGGCAGGGCTGGATGCGGCTCAGCGAGAGAAGCTGGAGCAGGAGGCAGCAGTGAGAGCCGAGCTGGCATCTTTTCAGGGGTAGAGTGGGGTGGGACAGGGTTACTCACGGTGGCAGCAGCCGGAGGCAGCACAGCGGGGCTGGATGCGGCTCAGAAGGAGAAGCTGGAGCAGGAGGGCGCAGTGAGAGCTGAGCTGACGAGCTTGCAGGGGTAGAGTGGGATTGGACAGGGTTACAAGGCGTGACAGTAGCAGGAGAAACTGGAGCTGGTTTAACAATGTAATTGCAGAAGGTGAAGCTGGAACAGGATGGCTTTTGAGAATTCTCAAAAAGGAGGGCGCAGTGAGAGCTGAGCTGGCGAGCGTGCAGGGGTAACATCCAACAAGGCAGGGAAGGTTGAATAGGGAGAGACTGCAGGTGGTCACAAGGTGTCGCTGGGATACGGTGGGATTAGGTTACAGGGCGACACAGGAGAGAGGGAGAAGAGGAGCAGGCGCCTGAGAGAGCTGAGCTGACATTTTTGCAGACAGCACTACGGTACCGTAGGTTGAGTAGCGGAACAGCAGCACGAGAATTGGGATCAGGAGGGACTGATGGGAGCTCAGGTGGTGAGCTTGGGGAAGTTGAATGGAGAGAGGTAAGGCAGGTCAAAGGGAGTCTCTGGAGCTGGTTACAAGGATACATTAGGGTTGAAGCTTGATTCTTCGTACGGTATTCTTTGTTCTTTTTCATGCCGTTGGATAAAACGGTAGGTTTATTGAAGAGTACCGTATTACCCCGGATATAAGCGCAGGTGCGCTTATAATAAATCAGTGTTTTTGGGAGGGTGCGCTTATAAATGAGTCACGGGCATAAGCGCATCCGCTTATATAATGACAAATACAGAAAATTTTTTTAAGCGCACCAAATTGTTCATCTTAGTCTTGTAATTCCAATCAGATCGAAATATTAGTGTGTCTTAGATGAGAATCGCGCGAGGGCGATTGATCCCACCCCCCACACACGTGCGTGCTGTCAGTCAGCTTCGTGCCGTATCGCGCGAGGGCGATTGTTTGCCCCTCCCCCACCCCCCCCCCCCCCCCACCCCCACGTGCGTGCTGTCAGTCAGGACGCGGCACCTGTTTTCATTTTGGCAGGATCGATCGTAGGAGGGGATCGATGTGCCGCTTATCCAGTGCATTGGCGACATCGTCAATGCGTGGTATCCGTATTTCGCATTACTTCAAAAATGTACAGTACACGGGCACCCAAATTGGTGGCACCTGCAGCTCGCACGTTCGATGTGCCGCGGTGCACACATCTATCGTGCTTTTGGTTTGGCGGTAGAGCACATCGAGCCACAGGTGACAGCCGCGATCGATCGGCGTCGCCCACGGTCGCTGGCCAAAAAATCTCGAGATGTTGCTAATGAAATTGCTGGGCGTTGGTGTCTACCCCACTGCAAATTTTCAGTGTGGGCACATCGGTGTGCCGATCGATGTGTCAGGATCGATGTGAGGCCCCGATCCTGGCAAAATGAAAACAGGTGCCGCGTCCTCAGGTTCGTGCCGTTTGGCTTTTCCCGCCCGAACCGAACCGAACGGGCGAGCATGTTGGCCGACTTGCCAAGCGTGTCACAGCCAAGGACGTAGACTCGCTGCAAAGCGGAAAATCGTTACGGTATCTAATCAGGAATGAAAAAAAAATTTATGCATGCGCTTATAATAAGTAAAGTTTTCACAGGGGGTGCGCTTATACCTAATTGAGGATCGGGCATAAGCGCATTGCTCCAGATATAAGCGCATGCGCTTTTAATAGGCCTGCGGTTATATCCGGGGCGATACGTTAACTTTATGTGCGCATAAAACAAATGAATGGCAATAGATTTTTTTTTTTCACCAGCTGTCATTTTCACCAAGTGTGTCGTCATCCCCCGGATAGAAAACCCAGGCATGTGTAATAATCGGACTAATGGAATTGTTGCCAATTACATGCCCACCCCAAATTCCGTCCAACTTCTTATAAGAGGGCCCAATCAATTCAGTACTGTTCAAAATGCCACTTGGCCAATCTGTGCATTTTCTAGTGGAATCGCCACGCCACTAACGCGCCAAAAGCAAACCTCACTGACGTGCCTGGAGAAATTGCCACGCGGGTGCACGTGCTGGCAGCAACTCAGCAGGTTTTGGCAGGAATTATTGTTGCCAGTATGGCACATCGGTGAATTTCACAAACCCACTTGGTGAACCCTTGCAGATGAATCCTTGCAGGCATAACTGCTTCTCGCAGGCGTGTCCAGAGGGTACGGTACGTCCGAATGCGGTCGAAATTATTTTGGAGCCAAGCCAGAGCGGTTTTGTATAAAGAAGAGATGGTTGAGTAGGTTATTTTTGCGATCGGGTACGTTATTGGACCTACCCACACCTTCCACCAACCACCTTGTGACAGCAAGGCGCAGCAATTTCCACAGTTGTGCGCCTCGGCCCAACAAGTTTCAAACAGCCCACTGGGTTTCAAACAGCACAACATATTTCAAACAGCACAGCACCACCCGCTTCTGCTCCAACTCCCTCTTCCCCCGTTCAACTCCAACTCCCTCTTCCCCCATCCAACTCCAACTCCCTCTTCCCCCATCCAACTCCAACTCCCTCTTGCCCCATTCAACTCCACCAACTCCCTCTTGCCCCCATTCCTCCTCCCTCCAACTCCCGCATTCAGCCTCTTCATGCTTCTGGGTAGAAAAACAGAAAGAACCAACCTTCATTTCTCTCTTGATAGTCGCTCGACGCCTTATTTCTGCCAGCACTCCGTTTCAGACCGTGACACGCGCCACGTGACTGTACCGATAAATCGCGTCCTACGAATTGGGTAGTACAGTAGTGCAAGAAATGTTTGCGTGAGCTCTTGGCGACCGCTGCAGAGCTCGACCTCCGTTTTGACAGCAACTTCGGCTCGGAAATTCCTTTTTTGCGCCATGACACAACATCCAGCACGCAACGCTGCTCCAGGTCATCGCACAGTTGTTTCTCCTTAATATTAGTGAGCTCGAAATCTTATTTCTGCCCATTACTCAGACCTCGACGCGTGCCACAGCATCCCAAAATTCGTGTCCTCCATTACTAGTACCCTTTATGGAAGGTCACATTATCGTGACGCGTGCGTGAATATTCGACAGTTCGAGTCGTTTTCAAACGCCGAGGCCATCATTGCCAAGCAAGACTCGCCATCATCCCATGATTGGAGGATTGGAAATTGCCATCACGAGCTGGCAACCGTAGCTGATCTTGATAATGGCGCATCGAAATCTGCCGTTCAGGCCGTTGTTAATAGCGTCGACGATGCTTCTCACGCTTCTGCTGGGGGTGATTGTTCCTGGGTTTGAAGCGGAAGGAGGTGTGTGGGTTGACGTGTATATTGATGCAGCAGAGGTTTGCTATGGAAAGAAAGATTGCCCTTTAGGGGATGTTGTCGGAGTTACCACACGAGCGGCCACTCCATTCGGGGGTTGGAGCGGGCCGCTGTGCCGCGACTGGTCCTACCCGCGACTGTGTGACAGCATCCCATTCAACAGGAGCATGAGTGAGGACTTGGTTCAGAGCAAGTGCTCAGGTAAGAAATTGCTGGAATAGTGTGGAAGAAAATCTCTTCATTGGTCACCCCTCGTTTGCTTCTTCTAGCATCTGTTTTTTTTTTTTTTTGCTAGCTTCCACTCATGATTTGTTTAATTCCCTCCCTTACTCTTGGTGCTTGTGTTTGCGCTGCTTGCAGCCCTTGATGAATGGGCGAAGATCCAGAAAGACTCAGTGTCTGCTGCTGCTGCTACTGCCGCTGCTGCTCTTGCTGCTACTGATGCTGCAAAGAATGGTGGCAATTCCACTGCACCAGCTGCCAACACCGCAAGCAGCACTGGGAGCGGAAATTCCTCCTCAGGAAACACCACTTCGAAATTACCAGACACGTCCAATAAGAGTGGGAACCCATTGGAGAAGGGGGAAGAGGCTGCTAGAAAAGACTGTGGCGGGCAGTTAGAGAAAGGAGGGGGAAAGGATCGGGAGATAAGAGGGAAGGGTGAGGAGGCAGCAGGGGAAAAGGGAAGGAAGACGAATGTTGGGGCTGCGAGTGGAGAGAAGCAAGGGGGGGAAGTGACTGGGCCAAGGAGGGAGTCGAAGAAAGAGAAGAAGGCGAGAGAGGAGGAGAAGAAGGCGAGGGAGAAGTCCCATAGTTAGCCTTTGGTTTTTGTGGACACCTGACAGCAATTTTTTTGGGGGTCTTGGTGTGCTGGGGCTCCTCTGTGAAATCTTATTTTCTCTTATGGGGTTTGCCTCTCGACGCGAGTCTGAACGCTCCCGTGCGGGCAAAAGGCGGCGCGGCGCGGCGATGGAGCGCGAGTTACTGCTGGAGATTGCGACGGTCGCGTCGACGGCGCAGCTGGCGTTCGGACAGATGGCGACGCTGTGCCGCGCCGTTTTCGGTACGTTGTACCGCCACCACAGAGAAGTTCTTATTAGCCTCGCGTTAGCCTCTCAATAGCCTCTCGTTCGAGCAGATGGCGACGACGTGCCGCGCCGCCGCCAGTACGTTGTGTCGCCGGCGCGGAGAAGATCGCATTAGCCTCGCATTAGCCTCGCATTAGCCTCGCATTAACCTCGCATTAGCCTCGCATTAGCCTCGCATTAGCCTCGCATTAGCCTCGCATTAGCCTCGCATTAACCTCGCATTAGCCTCGCATTAACCTCGCATTAGCCTCGCATTAGCCTCGCATTAGCCTCGCATTAGCCTCGCATTAGCCTCGCATTAGCCTTGCATTAGCCTCGCATTAGCCTCGCGTTCGGGCAGATGGCGACGATGTGCCACGCCGCTGCGGGTGCCACGCGGCGTGCCACAGGGAGAGAAAGAGAGAGGAAATCAAGCCTCGTGCGCGTGGTTGCTACGCGTGCGCACGTGCCAGGCGTGTTTGCTGCACGTGCGTGCTGCGCGTGTGTGCTGCGCTTGTGTGCTGCGCTTGTGTGCCGCACGCGCGCGTGCGTGCTGTGCGTGCGTTCTGCGCGTGTGTGCTGCGCGTGTGTGCCGCGCGTGCGTGCTGTGCGTGCGTGCTGCGCGTGTGTGCCGCGCGTGTGTGCTGCGGGTGTGTGCTGCGGTCTCTGGTAGCATCGCGGACCGGACGCAGATCAAATCGCATTAGCATCGCGTGTCCCTTCGCCATCTCGCGTCCGTCGCAATTGCTTCTCCTCATATTGCATCCCTTTGCCGCCATTCCAGACTGCTTGCTCTCCATTCTTCGATCCTCCCCTTCTTCTCTCCTCGTATTTTATCCTCTCTTACCCCCGCTCCTCCCTACCCCTTTCCCAGCCTTTCTAAAGTCTTCCCGCTTCTCCGCGCTCCCCCCGCTCCCCCCTTACCCCTTTCCCAGCTCTCGTTCCGCCATTACTCCCCTCCCCCTCCACCGTCCCCCTTCCCTCCTCTCTTCCTCCTCCCACCCCCAGCTTTAACCCACAACCCCTCCCCTCCTCTCCCCGTTTCCTCCGCCTCCCTTTGAACCCAACCGTTTCCCCGCTCCCCCCACCAAACCGGGCGCGCATCCCCGCGGTCGCCATGGCGGAGCTGTTGGCGGAAATAAACCTTTCTTATTTTCCCCTTCCAAACCCCCCTGCCCCCTCCCCCCTCCTCCCCCCCGTTTCCCCCGTCCCGTCTCCCCCCATTCCCCCACCATGCGGGGCGCGCATCCCAGCGGGCGCCACAGCGAATCTGCTGGGGGAGCTCGCAGGCTCCGCCACCCCGCCCACCTCATAGCCCATCTCTCCCTCCTTTGTTTCTCACACTCCCCTTCCTTCCGTTCCCACCAGGCGGGGCGCCCATCCCAGCGGGCGCCACAGCGGATCTGCTGGTAGAGCTCGCAGCCTCCGCCACCATGGTCCCCGCCCACATCGAGGCGCTCGCGCGCGCCGCCAGCTACCCCGGGCCGGCTGCTGCTGCTGCCAACGCCGCGAACACCGCGCCTGCTGCTGCTGGCTACCCCGGACCTGCTGCCGCGAACGGCGCTGCGGCAGCCATAGCTGCGACAGGTGCGACTGGTGCGACTGGTGCGACCGTAGCAGCTGGTTTGTCAACTGAGATGGATGAATTGGCTGAGATGGTTGCGACGTTGCCTGCCCGTATCGCCGTGTTCACGGGCTTGGTTGCAGTTGCTCTGACGCGTTTGCGAGAGCGGGAGGCGAGGGAAGAAGAAGCGAGGGAGGAGGGGGAGGGGGAAGAGGGAGAGGAGGGAGAGGAGGGAGAGGAGGGAGAACAGGGTGGGGGCGTGGCGCTGGGGCTGGTGGAGGGTGCTGAGCAGGCAGAGGAGGAGACGAGGGCTCACAGGGATGAGGAGGAAGAGCAAGGCGAGAAGGAGGGCGAGGAGGAGGGTGGAAGTGGAGGAGAGAGGGTTGAAGAGAGCAACAAGGCGGGTGCAAGTGCAAGTGATGCGACGGGGGTGGGCGGCAGTGCTGACGTGCCGTTGGATGGTGATGATGAGGCGGAGGCTAGAAGAAGAATCACGGCATCCGCCAGGGGGAGTGGCAGGAGGGTGAAGCGGAAGCAGCAGAGGCAAGGGAATGAGGGAGCCGGCGGTGATACTGCTGAGCACAAGCGATCAAAGCGGAGGAGGATTAAAAAAGATTGATGTAGATTTAGGATGTTGATTAAGGTGGGCATGAGAATTTTGATTCGAGGTTAGTCATCGTCAAGTAGTGCATAAAGAAATTGTACCAGGAAACCTGTGCTGCCTCAGTAGACTCAACAAGTGCATGGCCACCTGTTTATGTATACAGTGCAAAGCAGATTTACAAGTTACAGCAAATCTGTAGCCATACTTCACTGTAGTTTTCTAACAATGTTTTGAAGTTTTGAATTGGTTCGCTGCTTTTATCCAGTCGTCGCCGTGTGAAAGCACGAAAAGGTTTCGTCAGGCGTCGCCAGATCACCACTGTGTCAGTTTCGTCGGCGCACATCCCATGCTTGTTCCGTGAGAGATGTTTGAACCGAGGCAAGAATTCTTTGCAATGAGCACCACCTTTGCTGACCTAACGTGCGAGTCGCCTCGCGACATCAGGTAACCTTTTCCGGCGGGATCTTTGGGAGGAAAAAAGTCCCGTACTTCGCTCGCTGCTTGAATCAAGCCTTCAGGTTTTGGCTTGCATTTCTGCTTTTGACGGCACGGGAAGCACCTGCACGGTTAGTTTATCCGCCAGAGAGCAGTCATTCTAAGCCAAGACTTGTCCGTTCATGTGAAAGCCTTGAGTCGAAGCTGAAGTTAAAACTCAGTATTATTACGTTACTTATTGTCTCCGACTAGCCATGGACGGACAGAGCAACGGCGCGCAATGCGCGGGTAATGGTCAGCGCGAGAGGCTGCTGGCGATGGCGAGCGTCGCCAGCAAAATGCAGGTCGCGTTCGGCGAAATGGCTTCAGTTTGTCGCCTCGCTGCAGGTCCGTGCTCCAACAGATCGTCGCACGGGTGTCGCACGGCTGCTTCAACTGCTGGCAAATGTCGTCGGCGTGTCCTGCTTGAGCGGAATTCACACTGTGTCCAATCCCCGCCAGAGTTTCTCTTTTTTTTTTTTTTTTTTCTCCGATCTGCTCTTTTTTTCGGCCAATTCTCATTCGTTCGCGGAATCTTCAGCCCGCATTCACTTGGCGTGTCTTACTAGCTCGGCCAGATCCAACCGACACTCAATCGCGCAGCCACTTTTTCGTTCGGATCGCCTAATCGCTCATAATGCGCTTCATATCTTTTAGCAAACGAAGAACCGTACAGCCATTTTCCCCGCTGTTGTTGTAAAACTTTACATTCTCGTGACTAGCACCCTATCGGATCGGTTACATTGCGTCCCCTTCCCCCTTTCCTCCCTTCCACCACCCCACCCCCCTTGGCTCCTCCCCCCACCCCTTCCTTCCTCCGCCCCCGTGCGCGTACCGACGGACAATCTGCTTCCGCGCCAGCTCTCCTTTTGGGTCTTCTCAATCCCAAAATCCCCAACCCCCCCACTCCCTCCCCCACCCCCTCCGGCAAGCGCGTACCGACGGACAACCTGCTTCTGCGCCACCTCGCCTTTTGGGACTTATCAACCCCAAAACCCTTCCCCCCCCCCCCCCCTGCCCCCCCCCCCCCCCCCCCCCCCCTCCCCCTCCCCTCCCACCCCTCCCTCCCCCCACCCGATCCCTCCAGCCGGCGAGAACGTACCGACGGACAATCTGCTTCTGCGCCAGCTCGCCTTTCGGGACTTCTCAACCCCAAATCCTTCCCACCCGTTTCTTCCCAACGTTCTTCTCCCCCCTCCCCCCGCTTTCTCTCCCCCTCCCCCCCACACCACCACTCCCCATCTTCCCCCAGCCGGCATGCGCGTGCCGACGGAAAACCTCCTCCTGCTCCAACTCGACTTTAGAGACTTTTCAACCCCAGACCCCTCCTCCCCCCCCCCTCCCTCCGCCCACACACTCCCTCACCCCAGCCGGCGTGCGCGAGCCGACAGAATATCTCCTTCTGTTCCAGCTCGCCTTTTTAGACGCCTCAATTCAACCCCAAACCCCTCCCCAACCCTCACCCCCTCCACCCCTCTCCTCTCCCTCCCTACAGCCGGCGAGCGCGTGCGCATGGACAAACTCCTTCTGTTCCAGCTCGCCTTTTGGGACGTCTTAATTCAACCCTGAAACCTCCTCCTCCCCCCCTTCCCCCTTCCCTCCCCCGCTTCCCTCCCTCCCTACAGCCGGCGAGCGCGCGCGCATGGACAAACTCCTGCTGTTCCAGCTCACCGCTCCCCTCTTTGACCCTCTCCGCCTCGCCGCCCTGCAAACCACACCTTCCCCCGCTCCCGCGGGTGCGCCCGCCGCCGCGCCTGATCCCGCCGTCCCCGATCAGCCGCGCATCCCGATCCTGGATTTCGCCAGTGTTGCTGCTGCTGGCGCACGAGAAGAGGAGAGGAGAGAGGAGAGAGAAGAGGGAGACGAACGAGAGGAAGGAGTAGAAGGAGAGGAAGGAGTAGAAGGAGAGGAAGGAGTAGAAGGAGAGGAAGGAGTAGGAGAGGAAGGAGTAGAAGGAGAGGAAGGAGTAGATGGAGAGGAAGGAGTAGAAGGAGAGGAAGGAGTAGAAGGAGAGGAAGGAGTAGAAGGAGAAGAAGGAGTAGAAGGAGAGAAAGGAGTAGAAGGAGAAGAAGGAGTAGAAGGAGAGAAAGGAGTAGGAGAGAAAGGAGTAGTAGTTGAGGAAGGAGTAGAAGGAGAGGACGAGGCAATGGGGCTGGAGGGTACTGAGCAGGCAGAGGAGATGAGGGCTCGTAGCGATGAGGAGAAAGAACAAGGTGAGAAGGAGGACAAGAGTGGAGGAGACCAGGGGAAAGAATGCAACAATGCGGATGTGAGTGCAGGTGATGGGAAGGCGGTGGGCGGCAGTGCTGACGTGTCACTGGGTGGTGATGACAAGGTAGAGGCGAGGAGGAGAAGAGTCAGCGAGTCCGTGAGGCAAGTGAATGAGGGCACGGGTGGTGATGCTGCTGAGGGCAAGCGGCAAAAGCGGAGGAGGGTGAAGAAATCGCTGTGATGTGCATACCATGAAAAGATTGAGGCAGGTTTAGGAATTTGTTTCATGGTGGATGTTATAATTTTTGTACGTTAATGTTTTTTTTTTTTTTTGTGATGAAAGTTACCGTACACTTCAAGTGCACAATACAGTACAACGCAGGCCAGCAGATTCACTATTAGGCACGTAAGTGCATCAGGGTCCCTCTGTGTAGAATCCCTGATCGACAGGGTCCCCTAAAAAAAAGCCTGAAAGTTCAGTGTTACTAAAAAAAAAAAAAGTCTGATGCGTCAGTGTTCCCCACAAAAAAAGGCTGATACTATAGTCTAGTCTCTAGTATAATTAGAAAACACTAGGAAGGAAGCAGCCTTCTATCTATCTATCCGTAATTGTCTAGTCTGCAGTGGGGTACTCTATAGTGAGTACAGCCCAAATTAGGGTTTGCTATATGTATCCTATCTGCTGCTAGTGCAAAGCTCTCTCTTACTGTTTCTAACTTTCTGGTAGCGTTTCTCGACATGCTATCAGAGCGAGAACCAGGGCCTCATAATTGTTTTAGCCTAGGCTGAATCGTCAGTCTCTGGATGTTACTCTTGGCTGACCCATCAGTGTCTTGTTTGCTGAAAACGCTGACTTTTCAGTGTTGCCATTTTTTAAAAAGCTGTTCAATCAGTGTCATCATTGAAAATAGGCTGAACTACCTACAACAGCAAGCGTTCTATAAGATTAGCATTGGGAGAATAGCGGTACAGCTACTACTTAAGCCATATCCTCGTCAAAATCATCTTCATCCTCATCATCGTCACTATCACTAGATAAGTCGGAAGCATCTACAGGCTTGGGGTGGTCTACTTCCATGGCTGCAGCTTTCCCCTTCTTGCTGGGTTCTCTTGGGGCGGAAATGGGGGAGTTTGGAAAAGGCTTCCTCTTCTTGTAGCTTCTCCAGATGTCCACCACCTCATCATACACCAGCTCGTACGGCATCAGAGACAAGCACATCAAATCGCCCAGTCTTGCATCCTTCAACCCACCTCGAAGCCACGACTTGATGATGTTTTGGCGCGAGAAGCCCCTTTCGCACTCAACAGTGCTAAGGGGAATCACCGCAACCGCCACCCACAGCTGCACGAGATTGGGGTAGCTCTCGCGCCAGTCTGGAGTCTTCAGGATCGCAGTGAGGCCCTCGTGGAACGTCCTCTCCCCCTTTGGCGCTGCAGCAAGGACAGAGCAGAACAACCGAAGCTCCTTCTGTGCCTGTCGCTTGTTGATTCCTGAAAGGCAAAACAGGGGTTTAGGAAGGGGCAATCAAGGCAGCACGAGTTACTAGGCTGAGTGTGAAACCGTGGGACTAGGGAATGGGCACGGCAGTTGCCATATGTAGAGCAACGGGGATGAACGGTGGCTACTTTACCTGGCAAAATCTCCTCCGAATCTTGAGCCTTGAACAACGTCACCAGCGAAAGCAACCACTCCACACATCGTGCATGTCGCTCCGGCTTGCCCTTCGGCCACTCATCAGGCATGAACAGCCTGACACCAGACAGCGAGTCCAGGTCCCCTAGCCTCCTCTCCAGGTTCGCCACGATGCGTTCAGCAAAGTCGATGCAGAGGTCAATGCATCCGTCGTGATCCCAAAGGCCGTTATACCCTTCCACGGGGTTCTCGTGGAGCGTGAAGGTGATTTTCTTGGGTCAGCCTTCGGAGTCGACTGCATCCAGAGTCACGTCGCGCTCCTTTCCAGGACCGTATCGACAGTCGACATATCGACTCTCCAGGTGTGAGATCGTGCGCTTGATCTGAGCATGAAGAGAGATGAGATCCAACTGCCAACGGGAGATAGGGGGGAAACACAGTGTCAGTATGGTAGCTTCGGCGACAACCCTAAACATATTCAGTAAAAAAAAAAAAAAAAAAAAAAAAAGACTACCTGGATACCTGGATTACCAGGAAAAACTGGATTACCTGGCGCTGCTGGAAGGACTTGTTCAGGAGGTTCAACTGCTCAAGAACATCAGCCAGAAAGTACATGAAAAAATGAAACATGTACGAGGTGGCAAGCAGATATAGAGCGGAATGGTACTCCTTGAGGAAAATCACACCTGCAGGCCACACTGCAAGGATGCGAAGTATGGCATCACCCCGAGACAGCCACCGAACTTGGTGTATGCCCTGGACTTCCAGGCTTGTCTCTGTGAAGAGCTGCTGGAGGTCCATGAACCATTGGTGCTTCGGGGCAGAGCGTCCCAGAAGGTCAGCAGTCACGCGGACGAGGGCGTCAACTATGACAAAGACTGGTAGATCTTCGGCCGCCTCCTTTGCGGCAAGCGCCTCCCTGCGATGAAAAATAACGGATGTATTAGAACTGAAACAAAGAATAAAGACAGACCGGGCAAGATGCAACAACACCCGCACCTGTGGGCGATGCAGTGACACGAGACGGCTGACGAACAGAAGTACGTCCAGCAGTGATACAACATGGATCTTCTCAGTGTCAACGGCCGCACGATGCTCGTTGATGCGAGGCTGCGAAGTCGCGGCAGCAAGCAGGGCCTCCTGCTTCTCCAATGCCAGCTTGTGCTTCCGCGTCCCGGCGTGCTTGCGAAACGCTTGGGTCTGGACGTCGGTCGCACCTTTGCCGGTCCTGCCACATCGTCCCTTGACACCAGCGTGCTTGGAGCAAAGACTGCACTTGAAAGCAGGCAGACCACGAACAGTTTTTTTTTAGCACAAGCCACGGAAACCTCTCAAGCCACTTTGTTTTGTACTTCTCCAAAGCATCGGCATAGATAGCATCGACGATCTCTTGCACGTTGATGTTCAGAGAAGGGCGCACGGTGGATTCGGTGACGACAGGTTCAGAGACTGGGACGCTTGATGAAGACTTCCAGAAATTCAGCCGTTGCTGCTTGAGTTTGAATTTGCGCGGAGCTGACGATTTCGATGACGACGTCCCGACGAGAACTGTGTCGGAAACACCAGCACGCGCAGGAACGTCTGCCCTTATAGAATCCGGGCTAGAAGGCTCGCCGAGTGTTTCAGGAACGGGAGGATCTGGATCTGGTGGGGTTGGCAGTGGAGGTTGAATATGGCCGCCTAGAGATCTAAGAAGAAGATCGAGGCCCATACGGGCTTCCTCGATGCCGTCAGCGTCGGCGCCGTCTAACTCCGCACCGTCCTCATCGTCAGAAAGGGCGTCGCCATGGCCAGCCATGGCGGAACAGCGAAGAGAGAGTGTGCCGAGCACTGTCTCGGGCTAGAGGAGAATGAAATGAAACCCTGCCGAGGATAGGTGTGGTGGGGTGGGCCTGCAGGAACAAGATGGGATGGGGGTAATCAAGAAGGAGCTGGTGAAGAAGGGTTTGTTGCAAGGCGACGCGTCGGTTGCGAGCATGCACGAACCTGGTTGCAGGTTTGGGGTGGGTGAGGTGGTTGTGGTTGCCTAGTCGCGCGGCAACAATGTGCTTGGCTGCACTGTGCTGCTGCATCGTGCGTGCGAGTTGTTGTTAACGTGCCATTCGCCAGAAAGTGATGTGGTTGTCCAAAACAACCAATCACGAGCGAAGAGACCTGTGCTCGGCGACAGCAGTGCAAGGTAAGTGCGGGAATGATGCCACTTCCTAGTGCGTTGGCGGGGAATCTTGACTTCTCGCCGTGATTGACGGGGGGTCGGTCCTTCCGGTGTACCCAGACAGCCGGAATTCAAGGCACCTACGCGAATCCCCTTTAAAGCGATTTCAGCCCACCCCCTCGAAGCAACTCTGATCAGTCAGTGTGTAGTCCAGAAAAAAAAAAATAAATAAAAAAACTGAAAATTCAGAGGATACATTAAAAAAAATACTGGAAATTCAGCCCACACAGTAAAAAAGTTGCTGCCATTTCAGCCCCACTATCTCCCCAGCACTGAAAACACAGCCTTTTTACCCCTAATCAGCCTTTTTTCGCTGACTTCTGGGGGCCTGGCGAGAACGCTCCTGGCCTGTGGGCCCACCTGCTTCCGCTGCTGTCCTGCTTGTCGCGCGCCCGGGGCTCGCGACGTTTTCTGCCTGCCGCGCTCGACGCGCGCGGCGTGAGCGCGCGGCGGTTTTCTGCCCGCCACGCGCTCGGGGCGCATGGCGGTTTCCTGCCCGTTGCGCGCCCCGGGCGCGCGCGGCGGTTTCGTCGCCCGTCGCGGCGTCCTAAGGGCCCACGCGCCGCCCTGCCCGTCGCCCGTCGCGGCACCCTGGGGGCCTGCGCGTTGCCCCCTCTCGTCGCCCGTCGCGGCACCCCGGGGGCCCGCGCGCCGCCCTGCCCGTCGCCTGTCGCGACGCCCCGGGGGCCCGCACGTCGCCCCCTCCCGTCGCCCGTCGTGGCGCCCTTGGGGCCCGCGCGCCGCCCTGCCCGTCGCCCGTCGCAGCGCCGGACCCGCGCGCCGCCCCGCTTCCGCTCGCACGCCGCCCCAGCTGCTGCCCACGTATCTGCCCCGCGCCGCACGTGCGCCGCCTGCGTTGGGGGTATGGGGGTGGCAGGTATGGGGGTGGCGGGTTTGTGAGCCGTCCCCTACTTCTCCTCCTCCTCCGTCTCCCACTGCTACAGCTGCCGCTGAGGGGGGTGGATGTGTGGGAGCCGAGGGAGTGGCGCTAGGGAGGTGCCGTGGGAGTGGAGCTGGGGGTGCGTAGGGGGGTGTGTGCAAGGGGGTCTGCGACAGTGGGGGAGGGTTGAACGGAGGTAGCCGTTGTGGAGCCAGCAGCGCCAGTAGTCCGGGAAGGTCGTGCCCTTGCTCCGGTAGCCAGCGAGCCCGTTGCGCCAGTTGCCCATGGGTCCGTTGCTCCAGCCACTCGTTTTAGCCGCGGAGCCAGTTACTCCAGTAGTCCGGGAAGGTTGTGCCCTTGCTCCAGTAGCCCGTGTGCCAGTTGCTCCAGTAGCCCGTGTGCCAGCAGCTTCAGCCGCCGCCTCCAATCTTCTCTCCTCTCACAGTCTCTCCTCCTCATCACTTGCCCTCTATAACTGCCTCTAGCTCTGCTTGTGCTTGTGAACTTCTTATG